ACAGTATCAATTTTTGTGTGATTCATTTTACGAAGCTGTCAGTTTTGCGGACTGATTTGTAGAACGGTAAGTTTGAAAGGATTTGGACGGTGGCGGTTTTTGCGGTATTGTTCTGGCATTTGCCTGGAAGATCTGAGAAAAACTATGAAAAGCGTCATTCAGGATTGGCGGCATCCCGGAAGAGATTCGAACGGAGCACCTCCGAATACAGGTACTGCTCCATTCTGTCGGTGACGATATTAATCTAATTGCTGCAGTCTCATCACCTTCCTTTGCCCGTTCGAGCCACCTCTGATGGACTCAAATGTTCTAGGACAGGCATGTCCAACTTCAAACAGGTTGTGATCAAATTTTTAGTGTCAAAACTGCCAGCGATCTACCACCCCCTCCCATCGTCGTACCTCGCTTTAAGCAAAAATATTGACAAAAATAATACGACACATGATGTTTGTAGTAAAAGCAAGATACATTGAAAGTAATGACTTACCTTGTTCGTTAAGAACAGAAAAATAGGAATGATGAATACGTATTTTCCCTTCAAAATCTGAATATAATCATATTGTATTACAAGTGAATTTACATGCTTTCATGTATAATTTCCTTCTAGGCCTACGAGATCGACCGGTCGATCGGGATCGACGCGTTGGACATGCCTGTTCTAGAATATCATGGGATATGCAGTTCAGAAAATAAGCCCTCCTGTTACACTGATGTCTAAGTATGCCTGTGAACCAGCTTCACAAATTCTCCGCACTGGAAACCGTACCGTTCACTGTGGAATGATACGCTTGTTCTCACATTCTCGTAACACAATGGGCTCATTTGTTTTGATGAGAGTAGCCTACACAGTAACCGAGAGCGGCAATGAATTCCACTCGCCTTTACTGACAACATTCCCCATGATTATTATGGTTACCGAACTGCTTACGAGGACGCTTCTCTGAATTCCGAGGGAACTTTTCAAACTCTTGTTGCCTGGATGCTTGCTGGTGACGGCTTATGTGGGCATTAATTATTTCTCATGGTGATGACTACGAAGATTACCGACTTTTCGAATGTGACACCATTTAGTCTGGTTGGGCGTTGCCGACATATAGAAGGCACATGCTTCCTCCGTATTCCAACCTGAAGATGGTAGCAGCATTTTCCTAGTAAACCTACCAAACCAGACGTTGTTACTTCCAAGAAGCTAGTAATATCTGATGAAGACCGGTGGTTAACCGCCGGCTTCCCACCGCGGCGGCCCGGGTTCGATCGCAGGTCAGGATATGTGGGATTTGTGGTGGACAAAGTGACACTGAGGCAGGTTTTCTCCAGGTGCATCGGTTTCCCCCGCCAATTGTCATTCCACAGACTGCTCCACACTCATCATCTTCTATCATTCGAGATTGGTAAAATGGGTCAAACAATGGCAAACGTGCAAAGTCTCATCCCAACCCAAGAAAAAGAAGCGATATCTGAAAGAAAATGCTTTGTTTTTCTAGGCCCTGTATTCCCTTTCAAGCCTCTCAAGACTGTAGGCCTATGTATCGTAATATGACCCTAATACCCAGGTCGGAACATCAGAAGAACGAAAGAAGGGTCAGCAGAGTGCATTACTCGAAGTCTTATTATTCACAATTCTTGCCAATAATTTACACTGTGACGTGTATACCCATTGCTACGCAACGACTCGGTAAACACGCCTGTTTTCTGTGCGGCCTGCGTGACTATATTGTTATGCAATGGTGCGGTAAACAGGCCTAAAACAATACGGGACAACAGACAACGGTGTTTACCGTGGGGTCCAAGCCAAGTAGTTATAAAGAAGAATTCAATTGAGCATTATAAAGTGAAAAGTTGAGTTTCGTGGCGCCAGCCTGCCGGGATATGAGCTTGGGGGCTCATAAATTAAAGAGATTGTTATAAATCCGTTGCCAGGATACGACTAGTGAAGACTGAAAACACAAGTGCGTGTGTAACGGTGAACTGTAAAATGTGTAGATCAGCGATAGCGCTGTAATTTCCTGTAGTCACGAGTTGTGCTAATGTATAAGGTGCAATAAATCCAATCGTCCAATCCAAAACCCGTCTATAGTCACTAATACACGTGACAATACTAATTGTTTCTGGCAGCAAAGCTTGTAAAGTTTGAATGATTTAACATCGAATTCCAATGGAAACTACATTCTTTGTTTAGAATACTTGATGATTTGTAAATTGAACCTGTTCAATTGTAGTTAACATTTCAAATCTGATGTCTTCACAGCCCTGACTACATAATTATACGTCGTTGAATACGGATCGAGACAAAGAGTTCTCAGTTTGCTGAAAAATTGTGCAAAACATTTTTTTTAATTGTACTCTGACGAATAGGAAATTGTTTGCCTTTCAGAGTTTATGTCAGGAGATACAGAATCTGCTTTCGGTACAAAAGTCACTGGATCCTTATAATTTATAATTTTAATGTTTGTCCTTACGTTTCCCGCACTACTTTCCAAATCTGTTCACTAATCCGATGACAGTGTTCATATTTATAATAAGTATTACTGCTGCAAATTTTTTAGACGGTGAGTACTGGGGGTGGGGTAGCACCGAGGGGCGTGCTTGTGCCCTGGACGCGGTCACATTTCGACATCTAAGTACACAGCCCCGTGAGCTCATCTTCTACCATTTTTTAACATGCATCACAGGCCGCGCCATAGCTCAAGCGGTTAGTCGATGGCTTCCCACAGCGGCGGCCCGGGTTCGATCCCGAGGTCTGGTCATGTGGGATTTGTGGTGGACAAAGTGGCGCTGGGGCAGGTTTCCTCCGAATACTTCGGTTTCACCAGTCGATCTTCATTCCACCAGTTGCTCCACAATCACCCTCACCTATCATCTGGGGGTGGTGCAATAGGCCAGAAGTGGCCGCAGTACAAGGGACTTAGTCCCAACCTACTAGCAATAAAAAAAACATGCATCACAAACGATTCTGTAACATTATCCGGGCCGATCACGGTGGCCAAGCGATCTGAGGCATCAACAATCTTCAACCGCTCGAAAACTGAGATCGTGTGTTCGAATCCCACTCGAAGCATGGGTGTCTTGTGTGCGATTATTCTGTGTTTGTGTTGTCCTGTGTGTAGGTAGCGGCCTTGCGGTGGCTGATCCCCCGTCAAACGAGTCCTACCGGCTGTGTATAAGACTAAGAAATTGAAAATGCGGCCAAGGTCCACAAAGGTCGTAGAGTCATAATAGATACGTATGTAGATAGAAATGTTATCCTCAGCAGAAATACCCCCCTTTCCTGGGATAAATTTTCTTCCCTTGGGAATGTCAAGATCTGTAGCAACTAAGACTTCAAAGAACCGTCTTCCTTCGCTCGAACAGTGGGATCGTGGGTTCGAATCCACTCGAGGATGAATGTATGTATATGCGTTTATTCTGTGTTTCTGTTGTCCTGTGTATAGGTAGCGGCCTTGCGACGGGCTGATTCCTCGTCCAAGGAGTCCTACCGACTGCGTAAAAAAGATTGCGAAACTGAAGAAGAGGCCAGGGCCCAATAAAGGGCTGTAGGACCATTAAAAGAATGAATGAAGATTTCAAAGGAAGGATAACAGTCAAATCAGTGAATTAATGGCATTAATTTAGGATTTGGAGTGAAGATTCTATCAACATACAAAAAATATTCTACGTGTTAATGCATGCACATCATGTTAACATCTATAACTGCCGTACAGATTGGTAAGAGTAGGGAGTAAATCTCATTATATCCTTGGATACGGATGCAGATCACCCTGGTGATACTGGAGATATCTCGGTATCGGTCATCAAATAAAATAATAGCACAGCATAATCACAACCCGAAACGTTAATACGTGTATGACTGGAGCGAACTCTGAAAACTTTGAGATCAGAGACTGTGGACCGGGGTCAATACATTATTGGTATGATAACTTTACGATTGCACAGTAGATAGACGCTGGATCCTGAGCAAGGGTCGATATGGACTATCCATTTTAACTAATATAATCTGCGAAACCTGAGTTTCTGACGGCGATGGTTATAAGGAGTAGTACCTTCTGATGTTGGAATGTGACACCGTCTAGTCTGATACATTTTCGGCGTCATACCCCGGAAGTCAGTATCCTTCATTTTCTAATCTAAATATTGCGACACGTTTTTAGATAAGTAACGCTCAGTTTCATCAGTCAACTAAGCCTGTCACCTTACTTGGTAAAGCTGTCCCTGTATCAGGCCGTCAAGGCCCATAGGGTTGTGAGACGTCGAGGCTCCCACAATTTCTCTAGACAACCGGCCCACAGATGGAAGTGATGTTGTGAGGCTTACGCGCCGGCCACCTTTTATCCTCCAGGAAGATTCTTGGTACTCACTATTGTTAGAGGATGAATCTACCCCAGGGCCATAATGTGACTGGAAGGATCAGGTCACTTGAAAAATCAATGACCTCATCGGGAATCTAACCTGCGACCTTCCGTTTTGTAGCATAATTCCTCAATCACGTTACAGCGTGCCCCTCACCTGTGTAAATTAATATATACTAAATCTGATTCGATAAACGAATGGGTGAACTAATGAATTAATGAATGACCAACCAATTGACTGAGTAATTAACTGACTGACTAAATAATGGAATGTCTGGCCGACTGACTGACCAACTACTGGGTTATGTACGTTAACTGTAAGAACAGCTGCATGATCAACCGACCGATCAATAACATAAATTAATAAATGGCTGATGGACCAACTCTCTATTCACTCCATTAACTCATAGATTAAGAGAGTGACCGACTCATAAATAGTACAGAACTAACTAAAAATAATCAAAGTTTCAAATCCTGGAGCCAAACGAAGTACATAGTTCTGCTATAACCGGTCCGACTTGTTTCATGCAGGTTTCCTCAACGGACATCGGCTGGAGCACTACTAATAACAGAACACAATGACAATTAAACGGCTGAAGTAATAACACAAGAGGCATTGCACACAGTACCTATATTATCTGACGTCTGTTGTAGATTCGCCGCTGGACCTGTCCATGTCGCTGCTGTCTCGGGTTCTCATCTCGAATTCCTCCTCGCCCCCTAGCGGCGGCGACACTGACGAGCGGAAGTCCGTGTCCGGGGAATCTCTGTCTTCCGCGGCGTCTTCAGCCGGCGATCTGCTGGACACGTTGCGTCACGACGCCTGCGCCACCCTTCTCCAACCCTCGCCAAAGTCCCGCCCTCCGCGTGGCGAGAGAACGCTTCTCCCGTGTGAAGTGTGCGGCAAGGCTTTCGACAGACCCTCTCTGCTCAAGAGGCACATGCGCACACACACAGGTAAGCTCACATCTTTACTTCTTTCAGTTCTTCTCTGCACTCGTCCTTCTTCATTCCTTTCATCATTGCTGTGTTCCTTTCTCGAGTTCGTTTCCTTGTTTCTTTATTATTTATCTTCCTTAGATCTGTATTTATTAACGTTGATTCATTCTCTTTCTCTGTGTCTCTCTCCACGTCATTTATTATTTCTATTTTCTCTCTTTATTTCCTTTTTCTTTCTGTATTACTTCCAATGTGCCTGTCACGGAAGCCGGACGGTCTAAAACCTGTACTATCGTCGCTCGCTCTGAAGCCGGGATCGTGGGTTCGAATCCCACATAAGGTATGGATGTTTGGTATGTGTGTATATGTTCATTTTGTGTTTGTGTTGTCCTGTGTTTAGGTAGAGGCCATGGGACAAGCTGATCACTTGTCAAAGGAGTCCTACCATCTATAAAATATTAATGAAACTGAAGATCAGAGGCCAGGGCCCAAGGGGACTCTAGAGCCAGTGAAAAAGAATACTTTCCCTGTACTCTTTCTTCGTTTTTTGTATTTCTAACTGAATTTTAATTATAGATCTTAGGTGAAAGCCGTCACAGACAAAGCTATCCCTGTAACAAGCCGTAGAGGCCCATAGGGTTGTGAGACGTCGAGGCTGTCACATTTTTCTAGAAAATCAGCTCACAATTGGCACTAAGGTTGTCAACCTTACGCGCCGGCCAGCCGTCCTTCACCCCCAGGAAGATTCCTAGTACTCATTTCTGATAGACGTGTGTGCAATATGAATATTAGTTTTCGGTATTTGTCAATTGATCATAAAGTTCTTTAGTGCACGTGTACTTTGCTTAAAAGCTGTATGAGCCACTCCGTAACATGAACGTTGGTTACATGGTCATATTCCCTGCGCTGGATTCATTGGGTTTTTCTTGATTCGCTGCGACTCAGTGTCTGTTAAGTACTTTAATAAAGCATCTGTTTTACACATATAAGCTTATTCGAACGAGAAATACGTGTATGCATGCTCTGAAATAAATACAGGCACTTCTAAACGGTTCAAATGATAGCATGAGAGGTCTCCACTGGCACTCCGTGTGCAACTTGCTGCAATTGCAAGAGTCGTCTCTGTGACAATGTGTGAAGTGTTTAATACTACATCAGTAATGCACAACCCTAGTCCTGCGGGCCATATACAGCTCGCCAAGGCCGCGCCATAGCTCAAGCAGTTAGTCACTGGCTTCCCACCGCTGCGGCCCGGGTTCGATCTCGGGTCTGGTCAAGTGGGATTTGTGGTGGACAAAGTGGCGCTGGGGTGAGTTTTCTCCGAGTACTTCGGTATCCCCTGACAATCTTCATTCCACCAATTTCCCCATTATCATAATCACCCGGGGCAGACTACAATAGGCCAATTAGTGGCGGCTGTGCCGAGTGGACTCAGTTCGACTCCACCCCCCAATAAGAGAATTAAAAAAAAATAATTACAACTCGCCAAATAAAATGCTACGTGACAAGTTACTAAATGTATTTAAATGCGCGTTATCGATGTTGCTATGTTCATAAGTCGGCACTTTATCAGTTGTCAAAATATATTCTTTAGGTTGCTTTTGTGTGATTTTTTTCTGTCAAAGGATCCTCGGCTCACGTAAAACAGTTGTAGCTTCTATGTACTGTGTTTTACCAATCGCCGTTACCAAACAATTACCACTTATGGACCAGAGCAGGCAAAAATCTAATTATTTTGTAGAAATTCCGCCTACACCGAAAAGGACCGTCATTGGGTTTGGGAAATTTCCGGCTATCGGTGTTTTAATTGAAATGAACTTTCGCCTGAAATCAGAGCTTTCTGCATCTAACTGTTTCTGTGAATGTTGCCGGTCAGACGAATATTAAAATTGCAATATTTGGTTCCCAGTTTGCTGCTTCGAATCAAGCTGTCAGTTTGTCTAGTACACTCTGCCTGTTCTCTGTGATATTGTGATCTTTTGTCTTTGTGTTATGAGTTTTTTATTAAGGTCTTTCAACTATAGCGCTTGTAAGTCCTGAGCTGGGACGTAATCATTATTAAATTAAACGTTTTATGTGAAATCGTTCATTTTCTAAAGAAAATAAATGAAACTAAGAAGCCTCGAAAGTAGTGGCAGAGAAGGAGCAGATTCGTGAAAATAAATGTAGCACAGTATGCCTGAGTTTTGAGTAAAATATAGGGGTGCTGAAAGAGTAAAATTGTGGATGATATTTTCAAATAAAATATACAAATTTAAATAAAAATTAATCTGGAGAATTAACGAAAACAGAAGTACCTTCTCTAGTTCGTGCACTCATGGTGCAACAATATCTCTTTTAAATGAATTTTCAGATTCTGCAGAACAAACCGTTGAAGGAAATTTAAGTATTTCGCTGGCTCTGCAGCCCCCTGGGCCCTGGCTTCTGATTTTCAGTTTAATGATCATTTTACAGACGCTAGAACTCCTTGAAGAATTGACAAGCTCGTCGCAAGGCCTCTAACTAAACACAGGAAAAAACAAACACAGAATAAGCACATATACTACACAGTCAATAAGTTCGTGGAAGGGCCGCAAAGCGTCGTACGGAAATTTACTGCCAATAGGCTTCAGCAATGTTTTCGGCAGCTATATCGACGTTGGCAGACTTGCATAGCGGCCAACGGCAACTATATCAAGGGCCGGTGTGGATTTGCGTAAGTGTATGTGAATACCTTGTAATATGATGCGATAAAACCACATTCCACGAACTTAATGACTCTACCACGTATATACCAAACATCCATGCCTTACGTGGGATTTGAACCCAATTTCCCGGCTTCAGAGCGAGGGAAGACAATACATGCCTTAGACCGCTCGGCTACCGTGACCAGCAAAATTTAACTATATTCCACTTAATTATCAAGTTATAATGGAATTTCAACGGAGATGATTTAGTTTAATAATTTTTTTTTTGTTCGGTCACAAAAGTTTCTTTTCATAATTTGTGCGAAAGTGCCTGAAGTCATCGGTTTGACCCGAATGATAGTCCAAAGGTGGGTAGCTAATATTTCAGAAGATATTAAAATTAAAATTTCCTGGATATTCAACAGCAGTGTCTATGCTCATTTGCTGCTGCTGAGTTAACGGACATCACTTCAACTGTATAACTGTATATATTTTCACGTGGAGTAATATTTCATTTTGAAATATTTAAAAAACTTGTAGAACTTAATTCATTTCAAGATCAGACAAAGGATCGAGTTTCTTTTTGACATTAACAATCAACAGAGATAACTTTACTTACTTTTTTTTTACTACTCAACGACGGAGAGTTGAAGGTGTTTCCTGTTGAAGTCGAAAGTGAATATGTGACTTGTACTCTTCCGGCAAATAATCTATGGGCATTTTAATGATCTAAAAAGCAAGTAATTATTACGTGAACTATACAACACCTCTCGGCCTCCTGAATGAAATTATCATTGACTTATTCACAGCTTTTGAATATTTACAGTTGTCACTTTGCTTACAGCTAGAGAATGGTTGAATATGCAAAAATAAGTCGTTATATGAGACAAGTGGAATATCCCAGCAATTGTAGAATTCAATGAGGACAGACCGTCGTTCAGAACATTTTCTAACCCCTTTGTAGCATCTTGTGAGAATTCTGAACCTACTTTGCACCTCAAAGTATTTCACCTACACTATGATGCACTTGTGCCTAAATTCAAACAAGGCGATTTGCTTAACTTTCTAATGAAAAATATCCGAATCCGTGGCTGAAGGTGGCGTGGTTCGAAGGGAAATTTTGGAACAAGTTCTCTCACTGACAAAGCTGAATCAATCTACTCAGCGGACTCAAGACTAGGTAAAATGTAAAGCTATCCCTGTAACAGGCCGTGGAGGCCCATAGGGTTGTGAGACGTCGAGGTTCCCATATTTTCTAGACAGTCGACTCACAGATGGCGGTAAGGCTGTCAGCCTTAAGCTCCGGCCGCCGTTTACCCCCAAGGAAGATTTTTGGTACTCATTTTTGTTTGGCTGTGTCGACCACAGAGCCATAGTGCGGCTGGAAGGACTAGGTCAATTAAACAATCCAATGTTCTCATCGAGAATTGAACCTGCGACCTTCCAGCTTGTAGTATAATACCTCTACCAACTACGCTACCGCGTGCTCACACGTCGGTAGAGACTAGGAAATTAAACTCTCACTTTGTCCTTCCCCTGTCGCAGGAAGCATCACTGTGCACTTGGAAAGCTAGGTACCATGATGTAGGATCAGAGGTATGCTGTCACCATGTAATTACTTCAAAATATTCATTTCTTTTGTTTAAATCCATTTTTGTTTACAGTTATTTAATATAATATATTTTTTGGCGCTACAGCCTCAATTTGTTTCTTGACCTACCTCCATGAAACTCTCCGTTTCACTTCGATTTACTGGATCTTAGGCATACAGTAGGATTCCTTGGGCGGGTGATCAGCTCGTCGCAAGTCCTCTACCTGTATACAAACACATAAAAACGCACATACACACACAAACACTAAACATCCATGCCCTGAATGAGATTCGAACCCACGATCCCGGCCTCCGAGCGAGCAAAGACAGGGCATGCCTTAGACCGCTCGACTCCCGTAACCGGCATAATATATATTTAACAGAAATATTTTCAAGTATGTGATTTTCCTTTCCCTACAAAGTCCCAGTGTTCTTACTAATAATAATAAATACGTATTCCGTTATTCTTTATAAAGTCTGCATCACGCGGACCGCATACGGAGAACAGATTATCAATGTGGCCCTCTGAAATAAAAGGGTTGTGTGTCACTGTGATATACCATGTAACGTGTTGTGTGCAGGTGAGAAACCGCACGTCTGCCTGGTGTGCAGCAAGGGGTTCTCCACATCCAGTTCACTCAACACACACCGGCGCATCCACAGCGGGGAGAAGCCGCACCAATGCCAGGTGTGCGGCAAGCGGTTCACTGCCAGCTCCAACCTATACTATCACCGCATGACACACATAAAGGTAGGGGAAACAAGAAGTACTTACGTAATTTTGACCAGAGATTTTCAAGAAATATACTTCCACTTATCATTATAAAATACATATTTAACCCTTACACTTCTTAAAGTAAGGAATAGAAATCAATCAAGTATAATGAGTTCAGCATGAGAAATAATACAGTAGAACTTGGTTATAACGTCATCAAAGGGACCTAAAAATAGTGTCGTTATAAACGAATGTCGTTGTAACCGAAATGGGCACTTCCACAGTAGCCTTATGTTAGTCACGTAAAAATCTACCAAAAACCGAGTTAAAATGTTGCATTTTTTAGTGAAATACGTAGTTAAGTACAGACTAACGTAACATTAACGTGGAATTGCCCAAATGTGTAATATCAAAGACATATTACAGCGCTTTTCACTGACAATACACACCGCACTAATACTGTATATTAAAGGTAGGCCTACTCACCAAATTACAGTAGATTACATCAATTGTTGTGCCTTACTGTACCTAGATACGAGTACAGTAATCAGTTATCTTCATCTGTTTCCTGTTACTTGCCCAATACACACTTTCTAAATTACGTTCAATGTCCATATCAAAGAAATTCAGGAATGAAAATGACGTTACATACGAGGTTGATGCATTTGTGCATGTCGTACTAAGCAAGGTATAAAAACAGTTGCTTTATGAGGAATTAGTTCGTACCATTGAATATTTGACGCAATAGACAAGGTGTCGCAGAAACCGATGTTGCTATAACCAAGTTTTACTGTATTTTTGTATTAAAATAATATTTTAGGAAATGCGCTTAAATTGCAGAAAATCTGTAATAGTTTAGATTTGTAAGTTATAATTCTTTGGAGTCGTAAAATAAAGGGACCAATCTCATTTTGACTCGCGATGCTGCGGATTAGATTTCCCATCATGCTATTTACTGATGGTTTTCTTCAGTCTCTCCATGGAAGTGCAGTTAAGCTGTCGTGTCCTGTCGTGTCAGGCCACAGGAACATGGGTGCCCAGGCCAGTCAACGAAGCAACTTTGTTACAATGTTAATGTCACGTATCTAATAAGACAATAAAACGAGCACATGCAAATTAACGCGCAACTTATTGTAGAAAAAAAAAGCGACTGAATAAGAAAGACGCAACGTACAACTTCATAACTTCCTTCTTCATGAAATACCTGCAAGGACCTACCTTGTGTTTGTCTCTATTGTACCGTTCAGTGAACACTTCTAAGAAAATTCTACTGTTCTTTTCAGTTTCGTTTTTTTTATTCCCTTTTTAATAGATTTATTTATATACATGTAATTTTATTGCACCAAAATACATAGGAACTTCATTATTATAATAATAATAATGACCATTATCATCATTTTTTCAAAACATATTACAGGGTGTCCTGTAGTTGAGCCAAGCTTTTCCCTGTCTCATTACGCAATACGATTAGTTTTAGGGGAAAAAGTTTGAAAATGAATTGATTGCCACGTTATCACATTCCTGTTCATAGAGTGGGCGGCAACACAGTGTTTCAGTGTTTATCATTCGTGTTTTCTGAACGTCTGAACTGATCCTATTACGCTTCCTGCCTCATGTAAGATAACTGACATCACCTTCACCTTCACACTTCACGTGTGCTGTACTTCACTCGGTCCATCTTTGTATTTCAATATTTTCAGTATCTTACTTCAGTAAATTTTATCAGATAATGTACAGACTTCGGTCAGAAAACGTATTTCCTTTCTATCTGGATGTATGATGTAAGGTTTTCTAAATTTTGTTGGTTTTTATTTATTGCTAGTGGGATGGGACTAAGTCCCTTCTACTGCGGCCACTTCTGGCCTATTGTACAAGCCCCAGATGATAGGTGAGGGTGACTGTGGAGCAATTGATGGAATGAAGATTGGCAGGGGAAACCGAAGTACTTGGAGAAAACCTGCCCCAGCGCCACTTTGTCCACCACAAATCCCACTTAACCAGACCCGGGATCGAACCGGGGCCGCCACTGTGGGAAGCCAGCTTGAGCTATGGCGTGGCCTAGTTTTGTTGGTTACTAAGTATCGTGACTTGATTATCCAGACGTGCTTCGGTTGCTTCGGATACAGAGCATGTTCGTATCAATAATATCAAGCAAGAATGCAACGTGAAGAAGGCAGCAAGCAGATATCTTCATGCTGGTTTCTTGCTTCACTTATTTTCAACCGTGAATATGGAGGCTATATATTTCTCCGAAACGTACACTGTTTTCCAAAGCACAATATGGCGTTACATCCCAGAATATAGAACTCTTTCTTTATCTACCAGTCGCCTACTTATGAACTTGAGCTCTGGAAACCTAATGTTATGAGATGTTTTGAATGGATGTGAAACGCCGTCTCTCACACTGAAGGAAAGTGAATATTGAGGCTGTTTCAGCAAAAGGGTGTTCATGATAATATTTGGAATTAAGATAGAGGACTTAAGCTAAGACTAGAGAAATGCATAATGAAGAGCTTCATAATTTTACCCTTCACCAAATAAACATTAAGATGAACATGTGAAGGAAAGTGAAGTATTTGGGGGGTGGGAGATGCGAGAACTGAATAAAAATCTTAAGTGGAAGCTTTGAAGAGAGTAGAACTTTGCGGATCTAGGTGAGGATAATATTAAACTGGATCTTAGAGAACAAGGGTATTAGGATGTGGAATGAATTTGCTGGCTCAGCATGCTGTATATTGGCGGGCTCTTGTGAGCACTGTGATGAACTTTGGGTTCCGTAAAAAGTGGAGAATTTCTTGGCTAGCTGAACGAGTGTTAGTTGCCGAATGACGACTCTGTTTCTTGAAGCCTGTTGCTAAATTAAATGGTTTTGTTACGTTCTGATCAGGCCATGTCTGGATGTCTTCAAACTTCGCTTTCTTCGATATTTTATTACGATTTACTATTTACAATTTTTATTACAATATTATTTACAATCGCTCCACAATCACCCTCACCTATCATCTGGGGCTGGTACAATAGGCCAGAAGTGGCCGCAGTACAAGGGACTTAGTCCCACCCCACTAGCAATAAAAATGCCCTAACAGTTCTCTGGATGACGTTCACGCTGCTGTAAATGGTCGCATTTGAATTCCCTGCCCTTACCAAACTTTTGGCGCACAATATTTATTTTGTCAATGCGCATGCTTATGTGGGTGCATGGATACCTTGATCGGTACAGCGACTAGTCTGCTGGCTGGACACTAGAAGGATACGGAATTGATTCCCGGTAGGGGCAAGATATATCTTTCTTCTCCACAGCGTCCACGCTGGTTCTGGGGCCCAAATATTCTCGTATTCAATGATACCGGAAAGGGGCTCTCTGTCAGCGGGTAAAGCGCCAGAAGCATGAAACTGAGAACTCACTTCCATCCGAGGCTGAAAATGCGTTGAGCTGTATCTCCACTCCCAGTCTATAGGGAGTGGAGGTATAACTCCACGCATGCTTGAAGTTCTTCATGATTTTGTGCTTAATTAAGCACAGAGATTATTTTACCCATACCTTGTGCTTGTGTGAGTATTTATGTCTAGCAAGAGATGAAAATTAGGGTTTCATCACCATTTTATAGGGTTGATTTTGTCTATATAAATATTGTAGTAATATAAGATATGTAAGTCCCCATCTGAACATGTCTAATTTATTCTATTATGCTGATTAAATATTATTATAAACTTTCATATTTCGGTTTCAAATTAAAATTTTCAAGGGGAATGCGAGATATTAAAGGAAATTTTAAAATTATATGCATGAATAAAATGTGGTAATTTATATATAAAATTATGAAGTAGACTTAAACATCTGGTATCCCCTTGAAGATGGTTATTGCTTACCGACATATGACCAGGTTTTTAAAATATATAATGAACACAAGAAAATAAATCAGGTATACGCAGATGACGACTTCACACACTGTTTTGTAATCAGATCACGGAATAGGGGATGGGCGGGACATGTACAGTGCATTTGGGAGGTGAATTATTAGCAAAGGGTATGGAAAGGGGGCATTTGGGAGACCTAGACGGAAATAAGAGGGTGATACTAAAAACTGATATTACGGAAATACGGTGAGAAATGATGCATGTGAATTTCATTTGCTGAAAACAAAATCTGATGGAGGAGTTCTTTGAACGTATCGATGAAGCTTGGGGAAATTTCTTGAATAACTGAGAAACTACCAGCTTTTCAACGGAGTTAGGTCTGTTCTTATTTATATAGATTTGATGAACAACGTTCTGTTAGCGTCATATGGTATTATTATTGTAAATGAATGATCAATTGGAAAGGATGTGAAAGGAAGAGATAGTGGCTTATTTGAAGGTACTATTCCGGTATTTGCCTAGAGAGCTGAGTAAAACCACGAGAAACCTCATTCAGGATAGTCGAGATTCGTACCGAACGCTGCTCGAATACAAGTCAGAAAATTCATTGCTTGAGCCAACTTGCTCAGTGGGATTATTATTATTATTANTCAACACACACATATTCTAGGCACGACATTTTGCTTATTTGAAGTGCCCCTCTCAAGTCATGCATCCCACGTGTTTCTCCTCCCATATAATTACTGCTGTCATCATGCCCCGTGTTCCGTCCTCCCATTAGAACCGCGGATTCCACCTTCACTCAGGATCAAAATTAAGGGACTTTGGACAGGGCACTTGCATTCTTGCACGCATTTCTTGAGCTTGTTCTCGACCTGCTTCTGAAACGAAACTAATGATCATACAAAGGGCAAAATAAAGAGTGTAGGGACATTTGTATGCATTTTCACGTCCCCTTTCCCATACTACGAATTCTGAAGGGTAAAGGTAAAGTTGCCCTTGTGCTTAACTAATTAAGTACTGCGCCATGAAGGTGTATGGGGGAGGGGTTGTATAAATCCATATTTTCTTGTCCTTGGTACTGGTTCGAAACGAGTGGTCAATTTCACGCCTTTACTGCTTTACCCCACGGGGAAAGAGCCCCCGGTATCTATTGGATAGGAGGCTGGGTGGACCCC